TGGAAAAGTAAGACTTTTCATTCCTCCAGTTCTGTACGTACGTCAGATTTTAGGTGTTCAATTTTGTGGCGACCTACGTTCGGGTCATCGCGGTCCACGTGCTGCGCATCGAGACATACTGGACGTGTGGACGGTGTAGTAAGATCCCATTTGTTCCGTTACGTTACAGTGAACAGTTCCTCAAGCAATGCATGAAGGCGTGGCTATGTGTCTAAAGCGCCCATGGATATGTCAGGTTGGTTCGGTACATTTGAATATCTGCATTGAGATTCGGGAAGCTTTCAGTTAAGTTCTCTAGTTCAATAATATGGTAATTCATAATCCATTTGTGCACACGGCATTCGGAACTTGTTTCATGATCGCTTTGCATCCACTTTGAAATGCGGAGGGAATATGATTGAAAGTGTCACCAACAAATGTACATACATACATACATACATACAAACAAACAAACAAACAAACAAACAAACAAACAAACAAATAATATAACCAACCAACAAACTCCTTGGAGCTGTGTCGTTCTTAAGAAGCCACCCGACACTCAGCTACTCAGAGGTTTACTATTTTATATAACCTGAAGGTTAATTACCACTTTTATGAGAGCCCTCCATTGGTCCCTATTTTGAGCCAAGTTAATCCAGTCCTTTCCACGTCATCCTTGTTCTCTAAGATCCATTTTAATATTATATCTCTTCCTTCTGGCTTTCCAACCAAAATCCTATATATGCATTCTTCTTAACCATATGCGTTCTACATGTCCTGCCCATCTCATCCTCCTTGGCTTCATCATTCTGATTACTTCGCGAAGAGTAGAGCGGTACCGAATTTATTTTTTTTGACTGGAAATAAACTTATTGATGTTGGCACTTTCTTTTAGACATTGTTCATCAGTCAGATGTCATTAAGGGTCATGTGTTGTAACCGTTTGCCTACACGTTTGGCGCCATCTCCTCTGTAACCGTCCTTTTGGCCCCTTGGTTGCTGGTTGCCGCTGCTCCTCTAGCCGTTCCCACTCACCTGTTGTTACTCCGAGTGTGCAGGTTGCTGCTGCGTCCTTCTTGTCCAGTTCTTCCCTTTTTGTTTTTGTTGTTGTTATTGTTGTGGATATTTGTTGTTTGCGGGATATGGGTCACATGAATGCTGGGCGCCAGTAAGCTTACTATAAAGGCTTACTTTTCAGGAAAAATGGGGGATGAACCGGAAACTACAGGTGATAGGTACTGCATTCGCACTAGAGCGATGAGATTCTATCTCAGGGTGCACACAGGCCTCGCGTTAGCGGGAAAGATGAGTGTTTGTAGCTAGGCACTACCACACACTGTTTAATGAGCACTTTTTGATGTTCAGGCAACAGCACTTGCCCTTAAGCCCTCAAACAAACTTGAAATCACTCAAATTTTTGCGACCGGATCCTTGGCTAGTTATTTAGCGACTGCTTTTTAGCACAACACATAGAAGTGATTACACTTGCACTTAAACTTTTAAGCCAGATTAAGATTCACACTAATTTTTGCGTGTAATTAATTTTGCCGAGTTATTCAGAGACTGTTCCAGTAACACACTTAAACATAAGTTTGTTTTGTAACTTTGACTTTTGAACCAAGCTGCCAGTGATGCTAATTTTTCGGCTCTACACTTGGAGAGTTGTTCAGAGACTGCTCTAGCAGACTGACTCTGCTTTGAAGCAAGAAATCTTCACAGCTTCAACTCCGCCTCCAAGTTACTACCTTAATTTCGGCTGATTGGAACAATTCGAATTTGGGGAGTTAACCGCAGGTCTCACTGCTCCAATCACCCAGCTGTAATTTGGGACTTTGGACCTTAAAAGACCTAACATCGTTTTTGACAGCTGTTTGAAAAAGTACACCAGTAGCGTGGGTTGCTGGCCTTCCCACTTTTGACTTACGGGGTTCGAAACCTGTCAAATGTAACTTTACCAAAGGATCCCGCCGGTCAACTTTCGAACTGAATTTCCAGGAAAACTGCAGGGTGCTTCCTGCCTGGCCTTTGTAGGAGTGAAGCAGACCCTATTCTTAAAATCAAGAATTGGCTAAGTCACCCTTGAATGTTCCTTACTACATACTATGCGTAATTTCTATAAAACGAAATCTTGATTACAAATAAAGCAGGCGGTGTCAGTGGTGCGGCTACAATGTTGTGTGTGTGCGTGCTTGCGTGCGCGCGCGCGCCCTTCCTATCTAATAGCTTCTCAACATTTTATGATTGCAGTTATAAACAGTGGGATGACCATGTTCGGCGCATTTCCTCAAGAAGGACTCTGCTCCATAGACGAAACATAAATGGGGGAAGGGAGATTATCAGCCATCTCCCAAAAAATGAAGTCCTGTTGTACTTTTAAATGAACAAACGTTTCTGCTTCGCCAGTACCGATCGGTTTTAAGAACATTCAGGAAGAACTACCGCTTCGTTTGCTAATCGCAGAAGACGTCAGAATTGTCGGCATATGCAACCCGTTACGTTACTTGTTCGTTCGTTAGAGCCAGGGGGACGTATGTAAGGTTACTGCAGCTTTCTCCCAACTCCACTTGTTATCCTACAAGTGGTTTCTGTACAATCTTATCAATGTGCGAGCCATTACCTCGCTTTCTCACATCGGCTGTTGCGTGGTGTTGCTTCGGCGTACGTGTTGGCATGACATTACATGTGTGTGTGTGTGTGTGTGTGTGGGAGGGGGGGAGTGTGTGCATTTCTGTAGCGTTACTCTGATTTCGTTTCAGGTTGTGTTCTAAAAATCAATTAAAAAACGCCACCTTTTCAAGCTTACATAGGTTCACAAATATATTAGTCTTTCACTACCGAATATTCAATTTTAAACCAACATTTTTCTTTCTGGTATAAAAGTATTTATTACGTTGCAAAAATGTCGATTGGAAAATTGATTATGTGATCCCTCTGAGAATGTTTCTTTTTAAAGATTTTGAACGGCGTCTTGTTACTTAAGTTGTAGTAATCCCGCTATATTGTTTTGACGCGTTCTAAACAGGTGAAACAAAAGAGTTTTTTTATGCGGGGGGGGGGG